ATATATATATATATATATATAAAACTGCATTAGAGACTTTTTCAAGAGGTAAATTGTTTTTTAACTTTGGGCAGCTTGATCTGTATTTGCCATTTTGGTTTCAGTCATGTTGGTAATAATTAACCATCACATTTTGTTCAATTATCTATTGTGTGAACTCCTCTGATGCAGGAGAACTGCAAATGACTTTTCCAAAAGTGAACATTGGTGAGTGGCGAGATTGTTGGGAAGTTTGTGCTCAGATCCTTAGAATTTTCTTCTGCTGAATGACAGACTGTCACGTAGAACATGATATTCCAGTGCGTCTGCACAACCTGTTGGAGTGAAATCAGAAATGACTCTCTCAAATAATGTGATAATTTCTTAGTATTTGATCCTTCAACATGGAAATGCAAGACCTCCACAGTTTTGGAAACACAACACTTAGCAGCATTCTCAAGAAATATGAGGCCATCTTGCAACTTGACAAAGACCAATGTGACAGAATCGATGCACTCAAAGAATGCAGGAAATCACCTGGGAGCCTCTTCTGTGTATGACATGGCCCAAACAATAAATATAAGTAACCCTGATGCTTACTTCAACATCAACAAGTTGGTTAAGTTGTCTCTTGCACTGCCTTTGAGCAGTGCAGATTGTGAGAGTGGATTCTCACAACATAATGAGAACTAAGTACAGATCTTGTCTGTCACATGCTCATCTCTCAGCCCTGATGAACATTCATCTGTCGAAGCAGACCAGAGACATTTGACCCAAAGCCAGCTGTTGACCTGTGAATGGAAACAGTTAATCAGAGGCTCGGCCAAGGACAGAGAGGTGCATCTGCAGCACCTTCATCATCTGCCGTGCAGGAAGCAGAATCAGGGGACAGTTGGGGTGACACTAAGGAGGATAGTGAGGAAGACTGCAGACCACACTACATATGGGGTGAGCACCAAACACAATTCATCCAATGGATTTCTTTCACAATCCCCCATCACTGGTGTAATGTTGGAGGGTCAGCCCAAAGTCATCTCAGGGTTATAGCTTTCCTGCTACCTGCCAGGGAAATCTTTAACAAGTATTAGTGTTTATATGGTACCATTTCAGGCCTTTTACCCAAATACAAGTTGGTAAAAGAGTAGTTTAGTGTCAATCCCATTACCTTATTTATTTCATTTGCCACTTCCCTCCCCAGTGTGATTGAATTTTTGGACATCCCCAGAAGACATGAAAATAATTAGCCATAGAGGCTCCACACGGCCTCTAACAAAGACACCGAGAGTCTGATTGCAGTTCTGTTATTGAAGTAAACAACACTACAAAATTCTTCCAGCCACACTGCTTTAATGTTCTTGAGTTTGCAGTAGTTGCTTGTGTCTCATATCTCCATCTACAGTACATCTCCTGAAATTTGTGTACCAGGCTCATTTTCCCATTTTTATTTGATGTATATCATATAATGTTTTTTTAGAGTTTTGTATACACCCATACTGTATATTCGTGAAACCAGCTTTTTAAGACCAGCTGCGGTTAACAAGGGCCTTTTGCTTGTCTTGCAAATGTCCCTTGTTAACTGCCTGCAGGAGGGTGTGTAACGCACATCAGGCTGCTGTTTCTCACTGTTATTGATAAACTATGTGAACTCTGTGATGTAATGATGTTATGTTTTATTAAACTCTGTTAAAAGTGCTAGATATTGTCTCTCTTTTTTACAGTTTTGCTAAGCATTTGTCACCACCGGCTGTGGCAGAGTGGTTAGGGGAGTCATAACCGTTTGATCCCCCATTTCATCCATCTCAGCCGTTGTGTCCTTGAGCAAGACACTTCAGAGGGCCCGGTGATGCCAGTGCATGGCTGCCTCGCCTTGGTCAGAGTGCCACAGAGAAGCTGTGACAATAATGTAACTTACCACCATCAGTGTGTGAATGGGTGAATGACTGAACTGTAAAACGCTTTGGAGTCTGTAGGGACTTGATAAAGTGCTTGCCATTTTTTACTATTGTTCACCCTAACCTCCATTGGGCTTCTTCTGGTGGTAACTACTGGCAATTAGCTAACAACTGGTAAGATGTTTGGATAAGGGCGGCAAACCCAAATAAAATGTTCGCATGACTGACATTTCCTTTCTCACCTGACTTTTTAACTGAGAAGTAAATGCCACACTATTGTAAATTGGTACACTATTATGAATACAAATTGATAGTATTGGACCATCATATTCACTTTAATTGTATGTATACCCTCAAACTTTTTATTATTAATTTCTGTGCATTTACTACAAACTATGTGTATTTCCTTTATATACAGTATATATA